TGCATTTAAAGGTCCAATCAGAATTTCACAATTTCTTCAGTATTTTCATCTCTTCCCTTGTAACACAACAGTGTATTTTCAAAGCAGAGAGATAAGATGTTAGCTGAGAGGGACAAATCCATATTAACAAATTATTCTCTCTTACAGTAAATCTGTGTATATCACATCCATACATTTATCAGCCCAAAAAGGAAGAGCCTGACCTAACAAAACACTTGACTGAAGCCATGGGGCTTGAATTTGCAGAGTGGCCCAAGAGCACAGCTGAGGTAACACGTGAGGAGTGGCTGTGACACGTTGCATAACCCAGGTACCTCACAGGGACTGACTGATGCAGCTCAGCACTCAGGGAGAAGGAGACAGTGTGCTACTTCCACACCAGCACAGTGCCCACCAGGAATCTTAAACTGAGAGGCAGTGTGAAAGTCTGTGTGGGTAGAGAAATAACAGGGGACAGAAAGAGTTTAGAAATATGGAGAGGAAATAAATTTAGATTCGACTCGGAGAAATGCAAGCTGAGGTATAAGGGAAGATAATCTCCACAGAAACAGCCATTCAATGAGATGGAAAAATCTAAAAAGAGAATATCAAGTCATTTTTTTACTTCCTGGAAAGAGAAGTTGATACGAAAGTTGAACACAAAATGGCAACAGCAAAGGCCAGTTCAAACAAAGGCATCAAAGCCCTGAGCAGTGAAGCAGCAATTCCATTCTATAAAACCCTGGGGAACCAGCATCCAGAGTGCTCTGCTCAGGTCTGGTTGTTGCAGTTTCAAGCACGGACTGACAAGCTGGAATGAATTAAAAAAAATAGCAATAAAATGGCTACTGAGAAGAAGATAAAACCACAGAGAAAGAGCTGCATTGAATGGCAAATAAAGGTGTGATAAGGAATGCACAGGCTGGACAAGGAGGAACAAGCTAGGAGTGAAAACCCAGCTGTTTTCCATGATGCCACTAAGGCACTGTGGAAGTCCTTGAACAAAAATGAAATACCAGGTGGTCCCTGAGCAAGTGCTTTCACCACTTCTGCTGTCCAACAGCTTTCCTTTGTGTGTCTCTACCTCTGTCAGAAGAGGAGTTTAGGAAATCTTTTCCTTAATGGACACAAAATTTCAGACCAATGGTAGGACTCAAACAAGGGCAGAGCACAGTTTGATGGATCATAACAAAGGGAAGGCTCTCACTTTTCACTGTGGGTACCCACACATGCACCTGGAATATGGGACACACTCAAATGACCAAAGAACACACAGGTTCCTATATGGAAAGAAAGATTCCTGGCAGCTGGGAGCAATTCACTGAAGACTGGACAACTAAACTAATGCCTGAAGTTGCTAATTTTTGAAATTTTAAACTGCAGCCAATCCAACGTGTAAATCTCAACACAGTGGGAAGGTGGCAGGTATGCTGAGTATCTTGTATAAATAATTTTAAAAAGTACATTTGAGTTTGATTCTACACAGCCATAAAACCCAACTGTGTTATAAAGTGTCCAAACCCTCAATATTTGAAATTTTTCTTAAAAGACACCACTGCAAGCCTGTATCTAAATGATTTAGGCTAAATTCTTTAATTCATTAGTATCTAAATATTTGCGTTGTCATGTTAAACTGCAGTAAGGCATTCTATTACCCCAGCTTCTGTTTTGAATTAATCAGCAGGGTATTAGTTTAATAAGATGGTTCTATTACTGTAATTCCAAAAAGGAACACATCTTATGTAATGGAAATTATGGAGGTGGATATTTATACATATTAAGACTGTGACATATGAAAAAACATACAATCTGAATTGATTTCTCTCTTTACTACTTCTGCTGAGTTATCCCAAGTTATAAATCAAATATTGGTAGAGGTAACAAAAAACCAAAAGGCTTGGTCAAGCTTCAGTCAGACTGTTCAGCTTTGCTGGTGCACAGTTAACAAATCAAGTTACCTGTTACAAACACTAAAAACCACTGTGGTTTCATAAAACAAAAGTCACAGAAAACTGGATAAAAAAAATTTAAGTAAATATGTACCTCAGATAATACAGATATAAACCCATAACTTTGGTTCACTTGAAGTTTTACAATTCAAACCCACCCAGTCTGACTATCTAAAATCAACATTCAATGCTCACAAAAGAAGTGGGAACATAATAAGTAGGAATGTCAGCACAGAGAAGAGAAATCTTTTACTTATTCACAAAAAAATAAATGGTTGAAGCAAAAGCAGAATAAGGCTAATACAAATATTAGGCATTAGATACTATCAATTGACAATCATGACTACCAAATACAATCAATTGATAATTAGGAGACATTGGCTTTTGGTGACAACATTTTCTGGACTGCTTTGAAGTGGTAATTTACAGTTAAAAACATAAATGTCATAGTTCATAAGAAAAAAAGATGTTAAAAAATTAAGAAATAAAAATCTGTCTAGGGCAACATGGCTCTGGACACGATCTGGCACCCAGTACTTAATGGGCTGAAAGCCTTTCAATTCAATACTGCCTATTAATTTCCAAATTCAGGGTTATTGGAAGGAAAGTAGTCAAGACATCTATTTCTTATTATGAATCTTTGTTCATCCTCTATGCCAACATTACTCCCAGATTCTTTCATCCCTCCTCCCACCGGCACTTTAATTCATGTAAAACGTTGGTGCTCAAGAAAAACGGTACCTGTTTGTTGATGTCAGCCACAGTATCATCCTGGAGAAACTCTGCTGGCACTTCCAGTTTCACTAAGAAACGTGCCAGGTAAGCTCTTTTCTTGAGTTCATGGGTCCTCTGCAGAAGCCAGTGTAAGAGAGGATGAATGACAGGTTTGCTCCCAGTAACCAACCCCTGGCGAAAAGCACTTCTGTGTGACAATGACAGAGAAAACACCAAAAAATCTCAAACTAAGGAATGCTGGCTTGGAACAAAGAATTTGCAATGTTTTGAAGCTCCTTCTCCACTTGACTAATGATTTTCTTAATTCTGTTAAAAGAGAAAATGCTCATGATGAGGCTGAAAGGATTGGGATTGTTCAGCCTGGAGGAGAGAAGGCTCCAGGGTGAGAAGAATCTGAAGGAGCCGACAGGAAAGATGGAGGGAGACCATTTACAAGGGCCTGGAGTGACAGGACAAAGGGGAATGGCTTTCCACTGACAGAGAGTAGGGTTAGGTGGGATGCTGGGAAGAAATCCTTCCCTATGAGGGTGGGGACGCTCAGAGAAGGTTGCCCAGAGAAGCTGTGGGTGCCCCATCCCTGGAAGCGTTCAAGCCAGGGTGGATGGAGCTGGGAGCAACCTGGTCTAGTGGGAGGTGTTCCTGCCCATGGCAGAGGGTTGGACTAGATGGTTTTATGGTTTTTAAGATCCCTCCCAATCCAAACCGTTCTGGGATTCTGTGATGGCAGTTTGCAATTTCGAATCCCCATTCTGCTCCCTTGAGGCAGATAAAACCCCCATAACGCACTAAAAGGATAAAGCCAGGAGGGACGACTCCTGGTTCCCCGCGGCAGTCTCGGGGAATGCCGGCAGGGTGGGCGGGGCGCGGGACTTGGGCATCACCTGGCGCAGGTGAGTCGCTCCCGCCTCGGGCGCTGCGGGGACGGGCCGGGCCGGGCCGACCCTGCCGGGCGGGCAGTGCCCTCTGCCGGCAGCGCCCGCCACTGCACCTGCCCAGGTGTGGCACCGCACCTGGCACCACATCCCGCATCCACAGGGACACGGCAACAGCTCTGGCACCGCACCTGGGATCCCATCCCAACCTCCACAAGGACACGGGAACAGCTCTCACCTGAACTAAAGGTCACTACCACATGAGCAGCAAACAACGTTTTCATGGTGTTTGCAGGTAAAAGGATACTCACAGGTCTGACACATTCCCTGGAGGTTTGTATTTGAGAATTCCAAGGAGACTCAGCATTCTTTTAGCTGTTTGTTCTGGCAGCTCCTCTCTAATGTCAACAGCATGCTAAACAGTTTGTAGAAATTATTTAATTAATGACTTATAGGTAATAATAATTATTATATCATAATATTACTAAATATTGTAATTATGACATTACTTATTTTATAATAATTTGTTAATTATTACAATTATATTGTTAACTATAATTAATTATAATTATTATATACTTCTTTGTCCAAGTGGTATCAATTAACTGGCAACACTAAAAGAATTTACTTTATTACTTTATCAAATGATAGTGAGATACTCTGCACAGAACATCCCTTTTATCACCAAACTTCAGTTCTCTTCTAATTTCCTCCAACATGCGTATTCAGGTAAATTCTTCCTAAATTACCATTCTCCCTGCTGACAGGAATCATCTATGCAGACACTCTGAACACATCCAAGAAGGAATTCGGGCATCCTGGCACTCCAAGGCACAGGTATCTGTGCCCCATATGTGTGGACATGTGTGTGTGCAGGGCATAGCCTGACCTTGCCCTAAGAACATGAAGGTTCTCAGTATGAACCAACATCTGTATCCTGAATTTCACAGGGAAAACATCCAGTGATCAGTCTCTGGGGACAGGGATCCAGTCCCTGCCCCAGGGAACATCTGCTGCTTAGCAAATATTTTTATACACTCAGATGTATTGACAGGAAGGATTCTTGCCAGGCACATTTATTCCAGGAAGATCCATACAAGCTGTTTTGAAAAACCAAGCACGCTACGGGATTACACTGAGACAGACCCAAAGAAAAGCACATTTCAGTGTCAAACCCACTGCAAGAGGTGTGAGCAGCTCTGAGCGCCCCCCTTACCTTCGGGTCAATCTCGCCCAGAACATCATTGAGCAGCTGCAGCAGCTGCACCGACTCCAGGGAGTCAAACGAGATTAAGTTGTAGTTCTTCCTGAAGGGCTCCTGATTGAGCTTCTCGACAATGAACTGCATTTGGTCACCCATGGCGGTGTCCCGGGGGGCACCCGCAGAGGACACACGGTGGGTGTGGGGGCGGTGAGCTGGGCCCTGGGGACGGGGCGGGCCGGGGGGCCCGGGCCGGGCCTGGCGATGAGGCCCCAGCGGAGCCTCCCGGCACCGCGGGGACGGTTGCCGGGATACGGCGCTGACGTCACTTCCGATGCCACGGCGGAGCGGCGGGAACCGGGACCGCGCCGGGCGGGGAGGGGGCGGGGTCTGATAATGGAGGGCGGGGCCAGACTGGACGGAACGGCGTTGATTTGTGAGGGGGCGGGGCCGGAGCGTGTGTGGGCGTGGTCTAGCTCTGGTTGGGTTGTGAGGGGGCGTGGTCAGGCTGTGAGGGGCGGGCTCTGTCTGTGGGAGCGTGTCCGGGGTGTGGTCAGGGGCGGGGCGAGTGTGGGTGTGTCGGGGCGGGACCCACCGGGGCGGGACCCGGCAGGTCCCTCCGGGCTCTCCCGGCGGGTCTGGGGTTCTTGGACGGTCCTGGCGCGTTTCGTTGCCCTCGCAGCCGCCGCAGCCCGAGGAAGCCCTCCCGGTGGCCTCGCGGTGTGCCCCGGGCAGCCCTTCCCGCTCAGTCCCGTCCCGTCTCCTCCCCGCCGCGAACGTGCAGTGGCCGCGGCCGAGGTCGCTGTGGGGGCTCTGGGGCGGACACGGCACAGGGAAAGGCTCCCGTGCGGCTCCGTCACGGCACAAGTGCGAGGAACGGCAGGAACAGGTCCGAGATTCACCCTCCGCAGGATAAACTTGGCTCTGCGGCTCCTCCCGAGGGAGGTGGTTGTGGCGTGTGTAGGAGATGCACAAACAGATTGCTGCAGTTACCCAAGTAAGGTTTCTGGCAGGCTCTGACAGCACTAAGGGGCGTCGAGCGGGGCTGGTGTGGGTGTCAGGTGAATGTTACTTCATTCCTTTGAAATGGAAAGGTGTGCAGAGGATCCCTGTGGAATGGGAACGCCGGTCCCGCGCCAGGCTTCACCCTGGGGAAAACGGCAAATGTGTGTCCTCGGGGTTGGACATCAGTTTTCAACCTCGAAGTACCCATAAATATGTAGTGCATAAACCTGAAACAGGGACAGCGGCTCCAAAACCACCAAACAATCCAAACTAGATACATATTAAAGTGAAACTTGTTCATGAAATCTCTCAATCTGCAAGATTTTTCTTGCAGATCCTTCAAAAGCTGTGCTTAGACCTGAAATAGGTGGATTTTGGAGCCTCTCTGCTGTTGCAATTAGGTTCTTGGATAGTCTCAGAATCCCATGCGAGTCCCCAGATGATGGATTAAAATACGCAGTGAGTCATGTTAAATTGGTGCCAATTGAAATGCACAGGTTGTAAATCACTGCAGGATTTGACTCAGTAAGGAGCATAACTGTAATACTTTGCAATTCTAAGCACTGTGACTATCTTGGATGAGCTCTTTTTTCCTTCTGAGAAACAGAAAGCACTTCATAAAATGATTTAATCAAATGTAATCCCCTTCTTCACAGGAAGGCTGAGCAGTGACAGTGCATTGGTGTCCAAGCTTTTAACTGGTTAAACAATCACAAAGGGGATGGACGGGTGACTTGTGGTTGTTCATGAAAGCTGTAGGAGAGCCAGGAACATAATCCAGGTCTCTTGACTCCTGGATTTGAACTTTAAAACCAGATCATGTTTCCTTTGTTCTGTCAATCCATATACTGACCTTTAGGAATCGTATTTACCTACAAGTTCCCAGAAGAGATCTACTTTCCCTTGTCATGCTCTCCTGGTATCAATTACAGTTTTCTCTGGTGAGTATTTTGAGCATGTAGGACACAGAGAGAGCAAACGAAAATGGTATTTCTGCTGGAGGTGCTGGGGCCAAACCTGCTCTGTGTAGACTGAGTTAATGGGTTATAGGGAGTATTGCCTGTGGGTCCACCACCACTTAATCCTAGAGAAACACTGTTTCTGTAAATACCATTACACAGCTTTTCTTCAGAGGGGAGAGATTGTGCCTGTGGTGTTGAGAATGGAGAGGGGTCTGTGCTGGGTAAAGTGGGATGGTGCTGCTCTGAGATCCTCCTCTCTATTAGATTATTTCAGTCCCCACACTGAAAGGACTGTTCCCCTCTTCTCATATCTCTCTAATGTTAAAGAGGCAACAGATAAAGAAGAGGAAGGATGTACGAAAACTTTAGAAAATGCCAAGATAAGATGAAAAAAAGATGGTGAGATGGAAACCCATGAAGTCTGATTGTTCTGACTCTGGGGAAGGAGACCTCCATGACCAGAGATCATTAAAAGTGGACTGGCTGAGCTAAAAGTGGACTGGTCAACAACCAGCTTGTTGACCTGTTGGAAAGCTCAAGTGACTGAAGGCAGGAGCAAACTCATACACTGGAGCCCAGTTTTGTGGGACTTTCCAACTTGTGGGAGGTGTGGGAGATCCCTTGTCATCCTTTATGTTTTAGGTTGTCACAGTTCTTTCCTCCAACAGTTTTGTGCTCTTCATACGAGCAGCCCCAAGAGCCATTTTGCTGCCCCAGAGTGCCTCTCTTCTGCTTCATACTTACAGTCTGCAGTGGTGTCTGAATATAAAGAATTACTGCTTAAAAAAAAAAATCAAGGCTTAGCTCAGTGCCTTGACCTCTTTATCACAAGACAATCTTCACAGACATAAAAAAGATTATAAGCTCTCAGTGCAGCCTTGAGTAAATATTACAGGAAGCAGCTGAGATATTTGTTTGATGCTTAACTTGTCTTAAGTTATTTTAGTTGGGGGATGTGGTATCTGGGTCAGGTCTTACAGATTGAGGGCCAGTGTTCCAGCATATTTGTTCTATAATTCTGTGGTCATTTTCCACATTCCCAAGTTAGTTTGCGCAGAGAGTGATACAGGTTTTGAAACAAAGTTTCCTAATGACATGAGAGTTATTACAACTATTCAGCCCTATAGTTCCACCCTGCTCTCTGGACAGAGTTTATGTTTTATATTGCTTGGGAAAGGCTTATGGGAGCTGCTCATTGCAGAGGCAACGTGTGGCAGAAAGAGAACAGAGCCTGCAAATGAACTACTCAGAGCTCTCCAGACCTGCCTCATTGCTCCCTCCTGCCTTTCTCCTCCCTTTACAGCCACTGCTGTCTGGAAGCTGCAGAGCAGAGCTGTGAGAGAGCTCGACCACAGAGGCCAGCAAATCAGAGCGGGACGAAACCTGAGCAAATGAAAATCCTGCTCCAGGGCCAGAGAGATCACCTTATATGGGAACATCATGGGAAAGAGATGAACCCATCCGGCCGAGCTGCTGAGGTCAGATCCCAAACAGAGGGGGGATGTTAATGTGAAAACAAGAGCATTTATGAAGAGAAGACACTTCTGCTTCACTTATGCAATCTGAGCCCTCCTGTTTGTCTCTTTTATTATAAACGTTGTGCTCTGTGTATGTACACATAGGTCTGGCTGTGTTACATTAAAATTCATTTCTTTGCGGTTATTTTGATACCTAAATGCATCCCAGGTCTGTTTCTGGTGCCCACTTACAGCTGTAGTGTGGTCAGCTAAAGCCTAAGGAGGGATCACTGATGGCTCAAAAAATGAAGCCTGTTTGTGCAGAACGCAGTTTGTTCCTGTGAGCTGAAGCATTTAAGACAATACCAACAGCCAGAAAGCCTGTCTAGTTTTGAATGTTTTGCCATGACTACAGCTGTAGGTGATTTAAAATACAGAAGGATTGGAAGAAAAATACTAGATCTGGTTTGTAGGGTATTTTGTGCCTTCATGTGAGTCTTCTGTTGCAAGAGAGAGGCCCCTGGTCCTTTTAACCTGAGTCTAATGGATTCTGACCCAAACTTGTGTCTTTCAGGCTCTGAGCCTGGGATTTACAGGTTCCACCTTGACAGCTCTGCATCTTTGCAGCCCCTACTCCTGTGTGTACAGTGTCAGATGGTGGCTTCACACCTCGCCTTGACCCCCTGGACCAGATGCCAATAGTTGGCTTGGAGCACAGTGTCCAGCTCTGGCTTGTCCGTGGCTCTGTGGAGTGAGAGAGGCCACAGGCAAAGGATGTGCAAAGTATTGGCTCTGCTGAGAGGAGTAGTGACTTCATCACTCCTTTTTAATCCCAAGACCTGGTGCAAAACCAATCTAAGACCAGATAGGGTGGTGTCCCATGCAATGGAAGATAAGAAGCTGGAGATCTCTGTGGCCATCGATGACCCCAGAGTTTGCTTTGCCACTGCCCTGTGTCCTGCATGGCCATTGCTACCCCTGTGAAGTGGGTGTTGTGTGCATCTGCCCAGTCCAGAAGAGCATTACACCTGCTTTGCACTGGTGTGAAGTGTTGGGTGGTGGAGTCAGGCCCAGAAGGAGGTCGGTAGGCCCCTGGTTTACATCCACTTAACCTCAGTTGTCCCAGTGTTTCTTCAGACTGGCAATGTCTGGTAGTACCGAGGAGAGATGGTACCATGGCAGCAAATGAGACCATTGATCTGGTGTTAGACCGTCTTGGAGGGTGGATGTGGTTGTGGGAACTCTGAGGTGGGAGAGTGGCATAGGATCTTATCTAACAAGGTGGGGTTGCTTGGACAGAGTTAACTAAGCGTCCTCTAAAAAACAGTCATGGTTTTGTTTCTTGCCATGCTGTCTGTTTTTGTTTCTTGTCTGAAAAATCAAAAATAACTCCATGGATTAATCTCAGATTTACACCAGTGTTTCTGAGATTAGAGTCTGCTCTGTAGAGTCCCTGTTCAAGGTCACATGAAATGGCAAGTCACCCCTTGCAGCAGATTCCAAGAACAATAAGATGTTTTAGGAATATGCAATAACTGATTGCCTCTAAAGGGCAAATTTTCCTCTGTGCTGCCAAGCTAGGGCTGTTCTCAGTGATAAGTGTTTGCTGAACAAAGTCTGCCGAGGTTCATGAAGTTGGTTTCATTCTCCTGGGAGGGCAGCAGGCCAGGACATTGAGCACACTGATCCCAATCACACAAACAATCAAGTCTGCAGGAAATTCAAGTTGCCTTCCTAAGGTTCCATAGCCACCTACTGCTGCTCAGAGCTGGGTTCCCACTGCCACTTCCAACAACATCGTTATCCCAAAGCACTGTTCTCCCGAAGGAAAAGGCTGAAAAGCTGTTATAACAGAGGATATAAATAAAGGAGCATTGAGCAGTTGCTTTGTATTTCTGTTCTGCTCTCTATCTGTTCTTCAGATCCTATTTTATCACCCTCCAGAAAAGTCTGTTGTTAACCTGACATGGTGCAAGCGCTTGTGGCTTGTTTTTCAAAGCAAACCTTTTATATCACTTTTATGTAGTGTGGAAAGTACCTTCTGAACATACAATAGTTTTTCAAAGTTGACAGTGCTTTTTATGAGTTAGAGGAGCTGGATGACATTCCTGTCAGCTTGAAAACAGAGCTGTCCTTCCTCCTTAACACATTCAATTCATGAGAAAGTGAAAATGTTAGACCAAGGTTTTTGAAGGAGAGAGACACAAAAATAGTCACTCTGAAAAGTTAACAACTATGTATTTTAAGCTCTTTTAAAGAAAAACATGGAGAGGACACCACCATTGGTGACAGAAAAACAAAGTCTAGGTACACAGCCATGCAGCATGGGTGAAAGTTTTTGGATGACATCAAGCCCTGTTGCAGTTAATTGGTGCTTCACCAGTGGCATCTGAAGGGTCAGGATGTCACCTCATGTTGTCTGTATCATTTGGGATGGGAAAATAGAATTTCTATTCTTGCTATTCAATTCACTTCTGACAAAGCCAAAAGTTGCAAAAGTGAAACCAAGGCAGAGTTTGGTCCAGCTGATGCACCTTACACAAAAGTTCTTTCAATTACTTGAAAATGTCCATCTGACTTTTATCTTGCGGTGCATTTTATCCAAGAGTGATACAAAGAAGCTGATATGTTATATTTTTATGGGCTTATTTGTCCTTCTGGCCAGTTGTATAGTCATCACTTAACAGATTCTAACAGGAGAGGATGAAGTTCAGTTCAGTTCAATTCACACCAGTAGGAAGGGAGTGGCTCACACAACCAACAGGATCTGGGATACAGCAGAATACACTGTCCCACTGCAGGCAAGTCTTCATTTAATGTCAGTCCTATTCAGAATTCCAGTTTTCTGCCCACCTTTATATCCTTGTTTAATTTGCTCACATTGTTGAATTAAACTTCTGGGCAGAAACTGTTGGTTTCTCAATCTATCACCAGACCCAGACATGACATTTCATATAAAACTGTGAAGGAAATTACTTCACCCTTAGCCAAAACAATGACAAGCACTGCTGACCCAGGCAAAGGGCTAAGTAAGGATTGATGAGGTGTGGCAGGACCATGGTTTGGGTAGTTCTTTCTACAGCTTCCTCCTATAGAAAGCTGCAACAATCTGAAATGTCAAGCTCCCTATCTTACATTTGAGGAGGAATCCACTGACAGGTTGAAACTGTCTGTAATTGGCAAAAAACTCTACAGTAAGAGCTTGTTTATTTACAAGAATTCAAACAGGAAGATGTGTGAATTATAATGCAACTGTTAAAAACCAGTGAGGTCAGTGGGGCCCTGTGGAATCCAAGGAAAACCTCCCTAAGTGAAAGAGATATCTGCATTTTTTTGGGTCAAAGGAAGGATTTACTTTGACAAAGTCATGAAATTTTAGGGTGATCCCTTTGCCTAAGCACTAATAGATCTCCAGTATGTAAACCAGCTATTTCCTTCTCAGCCATACTGTTAAACACTCGTTATAATACCGGAATAATTGACTTGTACCAACCTGTCCTGCTCTGTGAAGTCATAGTCCCCAGTTGGTATCATCATGCAGCTGCCATAGAAACACTTTTAGGTGTCTCAGGCTCATCTCAAATTCACCAGAGACATTTGGCTCATTAATTCAAATGTCAAGGAAAATGCATCGACGTAAGAGAGGCTTAATCAGGTTCTGAAATCAGAAAAGTTCCCTAACGTGGGGTTTTCTCCTGCAAGGCTGAGGGAGGGCTCTGCGGTGTAGAGGTTCTTTGTGGGTTCATTAATCACACTGAGGTTCCTTCCTCCTCCCAGTGGGGCAGGTGGGCTGGCTGTGCTTTCTGCTGCAGGCTGGTGCTTGGGGATCCACCTCAGGCCCAAGAACAGTCTCTTCATCCTCTCCAGGTAGATGGTGAGAACCTCAGCGCTGGCAATCTGAACCAGTGAGATAAGAAAACTCTAGGGAAAAGACTGTGGAAAAACACTGCTGTGACCTAGAGAGTAGGGTGGAAGGGCCTCATAGCCATCTTTTATTGTAACCCCATGACCCTACAATATCTGACACAAAAATGTTCTATTTCTAGTCTGTAGCACCCAAAGCATCAAAAAAATTTATGAAATATTTGATTTCAACTGAAATTATGGAAATTATACTCTAAGAGAGCAAGTGATAATCAATTTTAGCTCTTCTCTACTGGCTTTTAAATGTATGTGTAAGAAACTAGGTCATTTAGGACTTTTATTAATTCATTGCTTTTAAAAAATGCAAGCACATGTGCACCATATATAAGATATGAGATACACATGTTTCTATGTATATATATATATCTCATCTTCTCCCTAATTTGGGGTTTTCTGCAGACACTGAGCAGTTTTTCCAGTTTCAGGTCCCCTCTAGAGCCCACAAGGCCTCCTACAGCTCCTTCTGCTGAGGTTTTTCAGCACTTTAAAGCAATTTCCATTCCCTTCTCCTGTGGACAGAGTTATGATCTGAAAAAGGTTTTGTCGAACAACAGGAAGGCTGCAATTGTTCATACAGCATCCGGGAAAGATATGCATGAGCTTCCTGAGTTAATGAAATCCTAGGGGGTTTTTATAAAGTTTCAGTGGCTGCCAGTCATTCTGAAATGTCACACTGCGTGGGCTCTGCTGCGGATGCTACACTGGGAATTTTGCTTTTAATTACATCTCACAGTTGACACATTCTGTCTTGTTTCCTAACCTTCTCTAAAGTGCCAGGACTCGGTCACTACCAGGCACCAAAAATAATGGGAGAGAGGTTTGGTTCTGATCTATAACGTTCCTTCACAAGTTCCATTGGCGAGGAAAAAAAAGGAGGAATCACTAAAAAGCAAAGGTGAGTGTTTATTTTCTACCAGAACAATACATAAGACCAAGGTCAGAGCCAGGAAGCTTTGCCATGTGGTTGAGATACCGAGGTAGCAATGCTGGGCTTTGGTTACACCCATGATTGTCTTTACTGTCCAAGTTCCTTTGAAAGGTCTCTACAAGAGGCCTCCTTTTCCTTCCCCTTAGTTATGGCAGGAGCAGAACAAAGCCATTGCATGTTGGCAAGGAGGTTCCTCTAGTTTGGATTGTTCACTTCTGCCTGAGGCGGGGCACAGTTGTTGGATTAGTTGGCTGACGGACCTTTTTCAACAACACCTTTTTCAGAAGAGTTTTGGATCAGATTCCAGATGCTTCCCAGTGGATTAATGATGGACAGTTTCACATTATAGGTTCATTCATTTTTAGTTCTTTAACCATTAACTTACATTATTAATGTCTGAACTATTGTACAGTAAAACTCATCAGTGACTTTCGTGTCCAGGTAACATCCACAAAAGTCATGTCTTTGGTTTGCAGTTAAGTCTCATTCATTGGCTTGGTTTAGAGGACACTCATGAGAAGTCCCTCATGGAAGCTGCACATCATCCAGCTAATGTGCTGCTTGTCATCACAGACCTCTGATGCAGAGGCATTGCTCAAAATACAACGATAGGAAGAATATTCCCTTCTTAGGAGCACTATCCTTTATGAGGATGACAGCTCTGAAGGTTGGGTTTCCCCCTTGGAATGGCTGTCTTGATGGAAATAAAAATACTCCTGATCAAGCCTATGGCTCATTCTTACACTCTTACCTGTGCAGCTCTGGTGTAAATGGCCACCTGTCTCTGGGGACAGCAGTGAAACTGCCCCAAATTCATGGGGCAGAAACCAGCAGCTGCCAAATGGTGTAAATTCTTACTACTATTCTATAGCAAGATTTCTGTCAGAAGCCTCCTGAATTCCCATTTCAGCTATATGTACAGACTCTGGTTAGGCTTGGCCCACACAAACAAGTGCAATAAGGAGAGAAGAATTTATACCTAAAACTAAGAAAACCACCCATGTCTTTCTTGCTCCCCTGAGCCACCTAACTCCCTGTATTTCAGTGTTATTCTTAGCAACATATTCCTCCCACTGACAGCTTTCCAGGTAATAGTAAAGTAGCATAACATTAACTTATGTATTTAAGTAAAAGAAGTTAGTTAATTTGATGTTTTAGGCCAGCTGTTCTGAGGAGTTCTGAAGATTTCACTGTGCTAATAAAGAACAATGTTCACTTCCCAAAATTTAATTCCACCATGTAAGTGCAAACATTCCTCAATGCTCTCTGAAGAGTGAGTAGTAGTGCTCTGAAAAAAAAAAAAAAGTGTAAATTGGCATTCTTTACTCAAAAAGGTTGTGCATTCAGGCCTGCATCTGTGTGAGAGACAAATGGCAAGATTGAATAATATTTTAGCCTTATTAATCCTTCAGGAACTAAGAGAAATAAGGAAAGCTTGGGAACAGAGCCTCCCAGAATAACTGTTTCTCTCATGCAGTGGGCAACAGAACTGTCTATTCAGCTATACTGGTTTCTACTGGGGTAAAATCGCTATAGCACAACAGATGTGCAATTCAAATCACAAGGTGAAAGTGTTTAGTTTACACAGGTAAAAAGGTCAGCTCTGAGCACAAAGCTGTCACAGAGTTTCTATGCCACCAAGAGTAGATGTAAAATAACCTCTATCCCAAGGGCTAGGAAAAACCTCTGATCCTGGAAAGAGTTAGGAAAACTCTCAAACAAAACCTAACTGACCTGCAGGTGTCAGAGGCTGAGCTGGCCACTAAAACACGTCCTGGCCACAGACCATGAAACAATTCAGCACAGGAAAATGGGCATTTCATGTCTGTGCAAAGACAAGGAGAAAGCAGAACACATCCCAGTGTGTTCTTCTGAGTGACTCACTGCCTTCAGAGCATACAAATGAGATTGTGGTGAACGGGAAGCAAATGATCGCATGATCTTGGGAACTCTGATTAAAGGCACTCGGAGTCTGCCAAACTTAGCTTGCAGTAGGATGTGCAGGAGAGAGTGGAATCATTTAAAAGCTTGCTTTGGGCTGGTTTGTTGGCATCAAGATGGCAAAGCAGAGTGACAGGGACTGAACCCAAAGAGAAAGGAAGGAGGAAAATGAATTTTTCTTTAGATCTCTACAATCTGAATGAGGACCTGGAGATGGCAGCAAGCAGAGGGCTGAGCTGATGGCTTTTACACCAGATATATCCTCTTAAACACTTTCCTCTTTTAGTACTTGAACAGGCAACCAACTATAGAACAAATTTTGAATAGCAATGACAGAGTGATCTATGAATATCTGCCACCCTTGGAACTGACCTTCTGTCTCTTCAGCTAAGCAAATTCCCATTCAGATTATTTATCTAAATGAAGGAGAACAGGACTTAGAGATCACTCAAGTAAACCAGTCAAGAATAATAAAGCACTTTGAGTCCCCACAACATGTCTGAGACAGAAGGCATCTGGGTGTTGTTATCAGAAGTTGGATATTAATACCACTGTGTGGTTTAGTATGTCTTACAGTTTAATGTAATGATTTTTGTCTGCACTGCCAGCTTTCCGTTGTCAGATTTAAAAGATCTCTTTGTTCCATGCTCTGTGACTGCTTATTGATCCATAGGCTGATGTGAGCTGAGCATCAGGAAAGTTTATGATAGAATAAGAAACTGGAAGGTAGGAAAGGCTCTTGTGATTCTTGGCACTCTTTACTGATCAAAGAATGGAGAACGCTGAAGTGTGCTCAGGAGTTCAGAGTTGGTTCTGGATAACATGATATTAAAACCTTCAGAGCATGGGCACTCTTGTGTTTGCCAACTCCCCACATATCCTTTTTGGGGTTTTCTATCTGCTTTACCTGCAATTGAGCTTCTTTCTGCAGCTTTGGATTCCAATTTGAAATGAGACAGCAAAACACTCATTGGACATTAGTTGGATTATTAATTTGTTTAAATCTCTCTCTATGTGTTAATTTAATTTAGATTGCCAGGTCAGATGCCTGGCAAATTCCCTTCATCAAGCTGGGCTCAGCACCTTCATTTCAGAAGGCTGAAAGGGCTGGGTGAGGAAAATCTATGCTGTGTTTGTCTTCAGTTCTCCAAGTAATTTATGCCAGCTGACAATGCTCATTTTTAATGCTGCACAGGTAATGCGTGTCCTATGTTGATGAGCCACGTTACCTTGATAAAGAAACTTCTAAAAGTGAATTTGCAGCACCCTCAAGACAGTATTGTTGAGGTAAAGACAGACACTTAACCTCTGGGACCCTCCATTCAGAAGAGAGAACTGGAGGTGTCATCCCAAACCGATCTGGGTTTCTGCCATCCACCCATATTTCCAGGTTAGATTGTGAGGGGCTAAAACTAGATTCCTATTGTCCACTTCAAGGTAATAAGTCCTGTGACCAGAGGCTGTACTTTCTGGAGTCAATTAAAAATTGCTGCTTTCCTGTGGTGGGTGTGTGCCCGCAGGACTGCGTCGGTGTTCAAACAACTCGTGAGGTGTCGATTTGGTTTCACTCGGGTGGGTGATGGCAACCCAGAAAGACAATCCTCCTCCAGATCTGCTGATCTATCGTCACTATCCCTATTGTGCTGTGTCAAACTAAAAAACCCAATAGCGAGGATCTCTGTTGAAAATTCTCCTTGTGGTTGGATGAAGCAGCAAGTGCTGTTTTCTTTATGTTGGGAATTGTTGTTGCAGAGCCACCCTGTGAAATTTTGTGATGCTGGCAGCTGCTGCCCCAGCCAGCCCAACAAGAACCCTGATTATGAAGAATATGAGCTGGGGCAACCCAGAAAGAAGGGGCCTCTTCACCAGGCTGCCAAAAGTGGTGCTGTTGTGGCAAATGCCGACCAACACAGAAGTACCACGAACAGCTCTTGCTGAAGGAAAAAAGGGCAGCACATCACAACCTCCCGCTGGTTTCAGCAGCTGGTGCTGTCTGGTCGCACCCCGAAGAAAGCCAAGAGTCGCCTCAAAGCACAACCCTGAAGGAAGGAAGCCCAAAAGAGGAATCACTTGGAAATGTGGTGCTGAGCATTTTTCTGCCTCACCCTCCCCAGCTTTCTGCAGCCCTGGATCAAGAGGCTCTAGACAGAGGCCACAGAACAAGTTTCCTAACTTGTCACTGAAGGCCTCATGGTCTGACCAGATTAAACACACTCATTTTAGATGGTTCCAGTGACACAGACAAAGCATTTTTTGAAAAGCCCAGCTCTTCTCTTTGTATTGTTCTTTTTAGCTTGAACTCAGGAACTACATGAAAAGTACTTTTACCCTCTTTGTGTAATATTTTTGGGCATTTCATTCACACTCACTGGAATTGTAATGTTGGACTGTTTGTTCTTACCTTCAAGCAGGCCTTGCTTCCTACACCTCCTCCTCCTGAACTTGTGAGAGTAGCTCTGTGCTATGATGTGTGAGGTCAGAGTACACCCGAGGAGCAGCAAACTCAGGGTAGATTAATCTGTGCTCCAGCACTTTTTCCATTCTCTATTTTTGTTATATTTAGGCATGTTCTATTTTTGTAGAACCAAGGTGAGAAGGATTATAACAGGTATGTTCTGCACTCCTTTCAACAAAGCTTTGTTCTCTCTGAGCTAACCCAGCAGTTTACCATTTCCATTTCCCACATGTATTTGAAGATATATTGCTGGCAGATTATGCCAGCTGTATTTATATCTTCATCAATTGTGTTAACATTCATATTGCAGCATCTAGAGTGGGAAAATATTACCGTAGGCATTAATGCATTTCTGTTCTAGCATATGAACCAATTCTCCTTTTGAAAATAATTACACTAAATATTCACCCAAGACTGTGATTTTGATCTCTTCTCACATTTGCATCAAAGTTCTTCCTTACCCTTTCCCCGCTTTTTATAGTCCTTTCAGTTTTGACTGTCTTTATAAAAAATAAAGCATTTTACCAATATATAGCTTACCTAAAGCTCTTTAATTGTTTTGTACTCCCTGAAATTCCCACTGCTACTTTATCAGCTCTATTCATCTCTTCCTAATGATTTACTCGTTCTTATGAGGGTTATGGTGGTGTTTCTAATATAAGCACTGTGTTGGGTATCTCAGCACCAGGTGGAAGGTGCATGAATTAGGGGGCAGATCCCTGCTTTTATAGCAAAGATTAATTCTGCAAGAGGATAAATAAAGGATTTGCTCCTTGTGGATGGGAGTGTGATGGTCTTCAATATGCTCTGCTCTCTTTTGGAGGCAGGTGCTTGGTCCTTGCCCTGAGCTGGATGCAAGATACGAGTTGGTGTTAGGGGATCCCTACTCCTGCCAAAATTGTGTTGAGTTCTGGGCCCCTCAATTCAGGAAGGACATTGAGGTGCTGGAGGGAGTCCAAAGAAGGGCAATGGAGCTGGGGAAGGGTCTGGAGCACGAGAGGGATAAGAAGCAGCTGAGGGGGCTCAGCCTGGAGAAAAGGAGGCTCAGGGGGGACCTTCTTGCTCTCTTCAATTCCCTGACAGGAGGTCGTAGCCAGGTGGGGGTCAGATTCTTCTCCCAAGTAACAAGTGACAGGACAAGAGGGACATAGTCTTAAACTGCACCAGGGGAGGTTTAGATTTGACATCAGGAAGAATTTCTTCACAGCAAGACACTGGAACGGACTGCCCAGTGAGGTGGTGGAGTCATCGTCCTTGGAGGTGTTTAGGGAAAGACTGGACGTGGCACTTATTGTTGACGTGGTGGTGTTGGGTCACCGGTTGGACTGGATGATCTCAGAGGTCTTTTCCAACCTAATGGATTCGGTGATTCTGTGCAAACAGCCTTGGGCAGCCTCTGCCGCCGCTGGCCTCCCACAGCGAGCCCGGTGGCGGCCCCGGGGCTGCGGGAGCGCCCTGCGGGCGGCTCGGGGCGCTGTGGCACCGCGGGGCTGCCACGGCCCGGCCCGTGAGGGCTCGGTCCCGCCTGCCCGCCCTCGCCGGCCTCCCGCCCTTCCCGGCCACCACCATGGCGTCGTGCGGGGCTTTCCACAGCTTCCTCTTCGAGTACGACACCCCCCGCATCGTGCTGATCCGCAGCCGCAAAGTGGGGCTCATCAACCGCGGGGTGCAGCTCGCCATCCTCGCATACGTGATCGGGTGAGCGGGCGGGGGCAGTGCGGGGGTCCCGGAGCGGCTGCCGGGAGGGAGGACGCGCCGGGAGGGAGGACGCGCTGGGAGCCCCCAGGGCACGGGGCTGAGGGGCGGGGGGCGTCCCCTCCCTCAGGGGCCCCGGGACCCCGGTTCTGTCGGGGGGGCGCGGGCTGAGGGGAGTCGGGAGCTCGGATTTCACCGAAGGATGACACGGAGGTGGTGTCACTGCTTAATGGGCAGACTTCACTGGGACTGTGGGGCTGCAGACAGGACAGGACCCCTCAGGAGCGGGACCGTCCCCGGGGGTCATTGCCGCTCACCCAGCAGGGCTGGGCATAAAAGCAAATTACACCTTGCAGACCATTCTGAAAATAAAAAATACCCCGTAAAAACCACAAAGGAGATTGCCTGTCCTGTGACCCTTCTGTAGGGAAACGCTGTGAAACTGTCTGGACTGGCCCTTTCAGGTGACATATGGGAAAAGGAGAAATTCCGACCATGTGTGCTTGTTTATAGTGCTTATCAGTTGTTTCTTGCAGGTGGGTCTTTCTGTGGCAGAAGGGCTACCAGGAAACAGACTCCGTGGTCAGTTCTGTAACCACGAAGGTGAAAGGAGTAACCCTGACAAACACATCCACCTTGGGAGCCAGGATCTGGGATGTAGCCGACTATGTCATCCCTCCTCAGGTATCAGTCACTTTTCCCATGGAGAGGGAGGGTTTTCTAGCAATCAACTACTGCTTTGCTAAAGTCCACTGAGGGCAGAGCAGCTTCAGCTCCAGCATGGCCTTGATATAAGAGAATAAAGCAGCTTTGCTTTGTTACAGATCATGCTGAGCACCTGCACCACGAGCCCTGGGGAAGTTTGTTTTGAGAAAAGTGTATCTATGTGTGTGCTTGTGTAGAATCACAGAAGGGTTTGGGTTGGAAGAGACCCTAAAGATAATCTAGTTCCAACCCCCTGCCATGGGCAGGTACACCTTCCACTATCCCGGGTTGCTTCAAACCCTGTCCAGCCTGGCCCTGAATACTTCCAGGGATGAGGCAGCCACAGCTTCTCTGGGCAGCCTGTGCCAGGGCCTCACCAGCCTCACAGGGAAGAATTTCTTCTAAATCTCTTCCCTTTTAGTTTAAAACTGTTCCCTGTTGTCCTGGCACTACCTGCCCATGTGAAAAATCCCTCTCCCTCCTTTTTATAAGCCCCCTTTAAGTAGTGGAAGGGGCTCTAAGGTCTCCCTGGAGCCTTATCTTCCCCAGGCTGAACAACCCCAATTCTCTCAGCCTATCTCCATAGCAGAGTTACTCCAGCCCACAGAGCATCTTCATGGCCTCTTCTGGACTCGCTCCAGCAGGTCCAGCTCTGGTGGCCCCAGAGCTGGAATCAGCAGTGCAGGTGGGGTCTCACGAGAGAGAAGTAGAAGAGCAGAATCTTCCCCTCAACCTGCTGGTCACCCTGCTGGGGATGAGCCCAGGATAGGGTTGGATTTCTGGGCTGTGAGTGTGCATAGCTGGGTCATGTTGAGCTTCTTGTCCACCAACACCCCCAAGGCCGCCTCCTCAGGGCTGCTCTTGATCCATTCCCCACCCAGCCTGTGTTTGTGCTTGGGATTACCCTGACCCTCATACAGTACCTTGCACTTGGCCTTGTTGAACTTCATGAGGTTCACACAGGCCAAGCTCTCCAGCCTGTCCAGGTCCCTCTGAATGCCATCCCTTCCCTCCAGCGTGTGACTGCACCACACAGCTCGGTGTTTTCAGCAAACTTGCTGACCGTGCATCGATCCCACTGTCCATGTTGCCCACAAAGCTGTTAAACAGTGCCGGTCCCCGCAGAGGATGAAGAACTTGGCAGGCTTCAGGAAAAAGTTGCAACAATAACCACATGTCCTCTGTCTTACTGCTCTAAAGCAAACGGACCCAAGTTAGCTTGTTGGCAGAAACACCAGGAATAGCCTGCAAGTCACTTGATCCGGAACTGAACAGGAAGCTCTGCTGTAGTTACTGATTGACTGTGTCCGTGGCAATCTGCAGTCTGTGGGCCATGTGTGGTGGCCTTTGGGATGGGCAGCCACAGCCAAGCTGCTGGTTGTGGGTCCCTCTGTCTGCATGACATGTGATGCAGAAAAAAAGACAGATTTAGCCAGATTTTGGCTGAGTGTTCATATTTGCATATCAGTGGAGCAGAAGCAAACAACAGATCCGGAATCGTACAGACTTGAAAGTAATGAAAGTAAAGTAACAAAAATGGTGCTCCCTGAAGAAACAAACCAGGACTGGTCAAATTTCTAATTGATATATTGCAAAAAGAAAGAGAGCTGGAGCTCTATTTCTGGTCCTGCCTTGCAGCTCCCCTGAGGAGCTGTGTGATCTCTATTTTCATAATGGGAATGAGGAAATTTGGTCTGAGTGGGAGGACAGAAAGAGCTTCTAGTCCCACAGTTCTTCCTCTGGCTAAACACAGCAACATCAAGCAATTCATATGAGAATCTGCTCCTTTATTGCTGCACCAGCACTGTCCAAAGCAGGTCCCTTCTGTGGAGCCACCTGGGCTCTGTCAACAAAGGTATTTGGTGTGGTGCCTTGGATGCTCTTTGCAGTCTGTCACTCTTAAGTTGCCTTCTTGTTTTGCTTGTTCAGGGTGAGAACACTGTGTTTGTCATGACCAATGTGATACTGACGCTGAACCAGAGCCAAGGCCGCTGCCCAGAGGTAGGTGCAGGATCTGCTTTAATCCTGCCTCGTGTGGGTGGAAGTGTGGGGGAGAGGGTTCACAGAGCTTAGTGAAATTATTGTTCCTCTCCAGCTGCCAGATGATAAAACGGAGTGCCAGGTGAAGAACAACAGCTGTTTTCCAGGATATGTCAGCACCCACAGCAATGGTAAGAAACCTGCTGCAGTGGTCTTTCAGTCTGTGTTGTCATACCTTTGTGCTGTGCCTTCCCTGCTGTGAAGGAAGCAGCACTTCCCTTCAGTCTGCTTGTTCCCCTTAGCTCACACACAGGAGAACTGATAGGGAAGCTCAAATTTTTCTGCTCTGGGGAGAGCAGATGGACTGTGTTGGGTGGATGCTGGGTAGATGTGGGCTTTGTGGGTTAGCAAACGGTGTGAGGGCTTTTTCAAGGCCTTGAGTCCCTGAAGCAGTATTTCACATAGATGAGGATTTGGCTCAGGAAAAAGACCTGATGCTCCTTTCTCTGAAATTTCACTACAAAGTGCACTGGAAGATAATGGGGGTCTTGGTAGTGGCACTTTGCCCTGAGAAAATTGTTTTCACCATATAGAGGGAGGAGATGTCATGGGACAAATACTGCCTCTGGTTTTGATTAGTAGTACCTCCATGCACATATCTTTCCAGGCATCCAGACTGGGGAGTGTGTTTCATACAACAGCAGCATTAAGACCTGTGAAGTCCTTGCATGGTGCCCTGTGGAGGATGACAGTCACATACCCAAGTGAGTGCTCTGTCTCCCTGCTCCGTGGTGGCCCTCCTGGGATGAGGCTGGTGGTATGCAGCTGATGCTTCTCCCTTGAGGTGCTGTTGGGAAAAACTGAAGAGATGAGCAGCAAGGACACTGTGAAAGTATGTTGTACTTATTTACCCTTCCTCTTGTTTTGTAGGCCAGCGTTCCTACAAGCAGCTGAGAACTTCACCCTTCTGGTGAAGAACAACATTTGGTACCGCAAGTTCAACTTCAGCAAGTAAATAGTGGGGGGAGCATTGTCCTGTCTGATCTCATGGACTGTAAAGGGGAGCTGGATGGCTGGAAGAAGATGCAACAGCTCTTCTTTCTCTATTCCCCTGTAGGCGAAACATCCTCCCCACTATCAACTCCACCTACCTCAAGAACTGCATCTATGATGCCCGCACAGACCCCTTCTGCCCCATCTTTCGCTTAGGGCAAATAGTTGAAGCTGCAGGGCAGGACTTCCAGGAAATGGCTGTGGAGGTATTTGACAGACCCTTCTCTTGGGCTTCAGTTCTGTAAAAGAGGAGTGGTAGGTGGCTCTGCCTCGTGGCATGAGCCACAGAACACAGAGTAGCTGCAGGATGGAGACCTGCTCTGGCCAGGGGGCCTGGAGTCAATTCTACTACAAATAATTGGCCTTGGCTGGTTTGGGTGGGGTTATGTACAAGACCCTTCTGTAGCAGGGGGAAAGAGTGTTTAACTGGGACTGGGACAAGAGCCAGTAAATCAGAGTCCTGGTCAGCAGAGAGCCTTCT